GTGATCCAAGACGCGAGCACCAACACGTGCATCGAAAAGAAATACCACGCACTGTCTAAGTGGCTCGTGATTGGATCTGGCGGTTCGTAGCTTCTGCATTTAGTCCATCGAAGGGCCAGACGAAGTATACGAGGATTGCTCCTTGTCTTCGGACCTATTTTAACGAATGAAAAAGTTAGTGTTTCATCGAACCGTTCTAGATTATTTGAACTTCGAGCCTAGAACAACCCAAGACGCTACAAGCTCCCCCAGTAAAGCCATCCACTATTTTCAGTTTACCAGAGTGAACTCTGGAAATTTGGCGAATGAAAGAGTACGAAACTGCCGATCGTGAATATTAAGATAGCTTGTATGGCTTGTATGAGGAATTAATTTTTATCTTATTTTGCAGCAGGTTTTGTGCAGATAGTGCAGACGGGTCCGGATCCTTGGTCCGCACCTTGGATCACTCAGAAGCATTCAAGACAGCAGATTAGTTTTTTTTCGGAATTCGGGGTACTATTTGCGATTAGATAAAGGGTTCCAGCGAAGGGAAGGCACATGAACCCGCACCAAAGAGATAAACCCTCTCGATTGCAATCCTCCCAAACTGACTCATCGCACGTCACACCGTTCGGGGAAAATATTTATCTCGGCACGTATCCGTATCTGTATTTCGGGATACTATCTTGCCGTTTTTGAAAAAGAATATCAGGAATATCCTGTTACCTAGAACACATTTTTTTTTATAAACTGCATTTTGGTTTTAAAATACACCTGTCGCAGTATTTGCATTCTCGAATACTTTTTTTTTCTCAACTATCTCTTCCCAGCCATGCACTAGACGAATCCCGGAGAAAAGCTCACCGGAGAAAAGCTCACCGCAAAACCGGCGGATGCTGAGAAAAGCTCACCGGCCATTGAGTGTCTGCGGAGAAAAGCTCACCGATATTTTTTCTTCTTTTTATATGGAGGCTGTTGGATAATGTGTAACATATATCAATTTATAAATTCGTCAGCTTTGTAAAAAAGAAAATGTCCTTTTTGTAATAGTTGTTAAGCTTATTGGGTATATTGCTCCCAAATTAATAATTGCGGGCGAGTGGTTTTTGTGGCTTACTCTCGAGGCAACGAAAGCCTAACTAAAAACTTTATGAATAGAACAGGAAAAAGTTAAAGAAATTTAATGATGTCTGCCTTAAACCTAAAAAATCAAAGCTGTAACTGCCGAAAATTTAAAAATGCATGCGCAACAACGCGGTGCCTGAAATTCTCTTTGAAGCTTTTGTTAACCTTTGAAAACAGGATAAAACAGTCAATAGGATATCGAGGCTGCTTTCTTCCACGGACATGCACGCTTTCTAGCCGTTCGTGTTGGTGTTTTCACACGTTCCCTTTGTGTCATACTGAGTGCCCTTCTACGGTGAGCCAGCCATGACCTTCGGAACTGCGCAATGTCACCGTTGGTCTTCTGTTATGCAGCGAATAGGGCGAATTGGTAAACGTTATACATGATGAAAACCGCTCAAACGACGACGACGGTGTGAGGAAAACAAACACGACAAGCGAAGCTGTTCTCGCAACTAAAGTTTTGTTAGTGAAATTAACAGAAAGAAAACAGCATAGCCGACACTGATTACATCAACAAACACCTTCTTATCTATTAGGCACTACACAATATTTAAAGCTGAACCGGTTCACACACCGAACAAACCTCTTTATCTGACAGAGCTAGCGACGGCGCACTGTCAGCTGTCAATAAATTGTTGCCTTTTTTTATCGGTGTACGATTTTTTTATTTTATACGCTTGCGGCTTCATTAATTTATAGAATGGGTGACTACTAATTTTTGAGGAATTAGCAGATATGCCCAATGAACTTCAAGAATATTACAATAAATGAATTACGAATGCGAATTGTTTTAAAATTCCACGTTTGACGCAGAATCAAGCTAAGCTAAAAAAATATCGGTGAGCTTTTCTCCGCATCCGCTCAAAGGCCGGTGAGCTTTTCTCCGCATCTGCCGGTTTTGCAGTGAGCTTTTCTCCGGTGAGCCTATCTCCGGTGAGCTTTTCTCCGGTGAGCTTTTCTCCGTTAAGCTTTTCTCCGCCGCCCGCACTAGACATATCTCATTATGTATATCTTAACTTATAACATATATTAGGCTATTCCAACATCTGTTATAAACTAACGGTGATGAGTTATGCGGTCGAACGTTATTTTAGATATGAACTAAAAGAGTGTTAAACGATGATCCGGTAAACATCTGCACATGCCTGAAATGTGCATGCAATTCAGTGAATCATTCCAAGCATCTATTTTGTTGGGACTCAATTTTACGCCATCCTGTTCACACACACAAAAAAGAAGACTTAAGTAGTTATAAACAGTCAATACGGAAGTCATTCAATGTCCGTACGTACGCATGAAAAATGTGTTTTTGAGTCGTTTTCACGCTTAGCTCGTGAAGGGGAGTGAGCGCTGTGAAAATAGTTTCCCCAAGCGGGAGCAATGAGTGCAACTCTTTTGCTCCCGCTTGGGGAAACTATTTTGACAGCATTTTTATAGAAACTCTATAGCTCGTAAGGGGGGGGGGGGGGGGGGTGGGGGGGGGAGGGGAGGGGAGGGTGCTGAAAAATTGCTCGTACGGGACTCTGAGCCACGGGCATTCACTTGTTACCAACATGACTAAAACCACTCAGTGGAAATTAGAGCTTGTTCTATCAGTTTGCGTGTGAGCAGATGGGACAGTATGTACAGGGTCTGTCCCAAAACTTTCCGGAATGATTTTTTGTAGTCGGCAACGCCGCCTGGCAGGGCGAGGCTTCGGGCGTAGACGTTACTGGGGGATCTAAGCTTCGACGAAACTGGTCTTAGTTGACTGCGGGCAGTTGTTGAGGCAGGTCACGCTCCGCGCAGAGGTATCTACTGCACCCTCGTCGAGAAAAGAAATGGCCCAGTTTTTGGAGCGACGTTATGCAATCAAGTTTTGTGTGAAACTGGGTAAAAACGGGGCGGAGACGTTCGAAGTACTCCGGAAAGCCTACGGTGACGACGCGATGAAACAAAGCCAAACTTTTATGTGGCACAAGAGGTTCCCTGAAGGTCGGGAGCCCGTCAACGACGACCACCTCTCGGGACGCCCGTCGACATCACAAACAGACGACTCGGTGCAAAAAGTGCGTCAAGTTTTGGACAAGGACCGCCGATTAAGTGTTAGGTAATCGAAGAGGAGTGTGGAATACCCAAAACAATCGTTCGTTGGAGGATCTCCAAATAAGGAAAGTCTGCGCGAAAATGGTGCCAAAGGTCCTGACTAGTGAGATAAAGAAAGAGCGCTTGTTGAAGTGCCAGGAATTGCATGTACGCTACGAAACGAACCCAGAATTTCGGACAGAGTAATCACAGAGGACAAGACGTGGGTTTTTGAGTATGATCCCGAATCAAAGCGTCAGAGCAGCGAGTAACACACCACGGAGTCTCCTCGCCCGAAAAAAGCAGGGATAAGCAAATCGCGAATCAAGGCAATGCTCATCGTGTTTCTTTGACAGAAGAGGTATGGTTCACAGTGAATTCGTGCGACAGGGACAAACAGTCACCAAGGAGGTTTACTGTGAAGTTCTCAAACGGTTGCGCAATAAGGTTCGACGAGTTTGATAAGAAATTCGCGACAATTGGATCTTGCACCATGACAACCCGTCAAGCCACACCGCTCTCATTGTCTTCAAGTTGCTGGCCAAAATGTGTGTGGCAACGCTGCCCCAGCCGTCGTACAGCTCTGATCTGGCACCATCGGACTTTTTTTTGTTGCCAAGGATCGAAAGGACCCTGAAAGGAACTCGGCATGGGACACTGGAGACGGTAAAGGTAGCTGCGACGATCTCACTGAGGGAGGTTCCCGTTAACGGCTTCCAGGGCGCCTTCAGTGTTTGGGTGTAGTGTTGGCAACGGTGCATCGAAGCAGAGGGAGAATTCTTCGAAAAGTTGTGAAAATATTGTAAACTGATATTGAATAAATGATTTATATATAAAAAAAAAATTCCGGGAACTTTTGGGACAGACTTTGTACTCCGCCGATGGGACGGTGTGCATTGGCGTTAAGGAATGCATCACTGCTTTTTCTGCTCGAAGACTGATTGGCTCCTCTTGGGCTTCTGTCAGCGTCGGAACGTTTCTACGACTATGCCCGGAAAGTCCCAGGCATAATCGTAAAGTGACACGGTGAAAACGTTCTAGTGCGTCTATTTGAGGTTTTCGAACGTTGACGAAGGGAATATCATACAGTAGCTTGGACTGAACGAGGCCCGTGTAAAGCGTTAGTAAACCATCTGGTGGAATGCCCTGCTGGCTGTGCGCCCAAAAAGTGCGGAGTACGCCAAGTAGTTCACGGCACTGCCCCAGCAGTCTTTTCACCGCTGGCCTCCATGTCACGAGATCGTCAATAAGAAGTCCGAGATAGAGCTGGGAACCCTTTCAAGCACGCGCTTGGTGCCCGAGAAATGGCGGCCGCCAACGTTTTCTGATAGACTTTCGAAAAGGGTCTCTTGCGGATACCCAGAAATATAGATGCCGTACATTCCGAATCAACCCCGCTCTCGGGCCAGACGCCAGCCAGCTTTAGCAAACCAGAGAACACTCTCGTAACACCCGTAAAACTAGCGTTCTCCACCCGAGGAAAACAGAAAGTGCGTTGTGCAAACGCTTCCTCTCCTCCCAGTACGCCTCCGAACGCTGCTCAAGGTCACTGCCACGGTTACGACTCTGTACCTCGGCTCTTGCGCAAGCCCCGTGGCCTTCCTTTTATTTCAAAGCCCTTCCTCCGTGCTCACTTCCGGCACCCCACTTCCGAAGGTCGAATCCTGGACGGATGATGACGGCGGAGTTATAGAGAGCGTAGATTTAACAAAAGGAGCAACTCAATCCATTGAAAGAGCATTCGAAATTTAATAGCAGACGCCTTCCGCGCAGGTTATTTCCGCATGCTGGCGTTCTCGGATGGAGAGTGAGCGTCAAGTGACGAAGCTTGCAGGCGACCGACAGACGCGTTTGCCTCCTGCTCGCAGTTCGTGTTGCAAACGCGCCCCCATAAACCACGTGACCATGAGCAAGCAGTTTCAGGCACTCTCAAATCAAGGCACAATAGCCTTGGGCGGTAACCGGTAGCCGAGTGCGTTTGAGAAGAAGGACGTACTGGTTTTCAAAGCTCTGCCACTATATGTGCCGCGCGCAGGCGGAACCTGTGACATGTGCTCGCTCGCTCTTATCGGCACGCAACGTGGAGTGATTCCATGTGCGGGATATTTGGCCCGTATCGTGCTTATCGGGGACTATAGAAACGTAGAGGAGCGACGACGGAGGCCCAGATATTACTTCGTGCCGTAAGGGAGGGGTCGAAATAACGACGACGACTCAAAAAATGCTCCATCTAACCTCGTCCCGGGCGACGGCGATTGTTCTTCTCTTCGTGCTCTTGGTCGAGCCAGGTAAGTTTTGATTGGTCATCGTAAACCATGCGGCAACGAGTTCTAATTCATATCGCTAAATGTCACTCGCATGTGGTAAGAATCTGAAAAGTTATTGAACAAAAAAAAAAAAAATTAAGCTTTTTATTACTAGAACAAGAAAAAAGAAAGAATGCACTTTTTTGAGTGGGCGTCGTGAAGGTCACAGCCGTAGTCACCTGAGAGTTTAAGGGAACCGTTTGTGCGCATGCGACGCGGTGCGATGGGCCCTCCGGTATGCACTGCGCTTGTGCGAGTCTTGTGCGCTAGCGCATGCGCAGTTCGTAGCGGAGGGCTCATCGTTCCGTATCGGATGTGCAGAAACGGTTTCCTTAAACTCTATAGTGACAACTGGAGGGTGTGTGGCCCATTCCCCGAGCATTTCTTTTAACAATGATGGCGAGGAAGCAGCTCGAACATAGACGATTAACGGAGATAGGACAGACGCACACAGCCTTGTGCGTGTTACCCGTCCCTGCGTAATCGTTGCGTGTTCAAGCTGTTTCCTCAACATCAATGGCAATGTGCCAACTAGCTCAACTGAAGCCGGTAATTTCTTTGTCCCTCCTATTTCGGTGAGATTCCGTCATTTGACAGTAAAAACGTTAGGAAGAGACTTCAAAACAAAAAGCGTCAAGATAAAAAAAAAAGCCACATTTTGGGTTTTTATCGGATACTGTCTCCACGTTTGCTGCGTGATGCGTCGTTTACGCTCGGCAACTTTTGGCTCGAGTTTTACGATAAACCTTCGTGCTTGCAAAGGGTTCATACGAAGAGATCTGTGGCGCCCAATCAGCGGGCTTCCCTTAATCGCGCGAGCCAAGGAGAAAAGCTGTTGGGTGCCCTGCTTCTACCGGGTGAAACAAGGAGACGGTAGGCACTTTAAACCGACCGGAAATATCGGTTTCTTAACCTATCGCGCTACGACTTTGCGCAGCGTTGCCCACAGATGGTGCATTTTTTTCGTAAAATTTGCAAAAAGCGAACTTACCCGAGGAAAAAGTAAAGAAAGAAAAAGGCTTAGCTCCTATGGAAACGCAGCGACGCCACCGGTCTGCAATCAACACGGCGCCGTTTCGCACGGTAGACAAGAGATGGCGCAAGTGGTCGCGACGCCAACTGCCGCCAACGAACGAGCAGACGACGCCGAGAACCGGCGTTTTTAGCAGACAAGGAACTGCCGTTGCTTGTTGTTACCGCGCCTGTTTTTGTTTCTGCAACTGTCGCCGTTTGCGGAACGCGCGCCGCTTTTGATTCGAAAAGATCGTCTGCTAAAAACGCTGGCTCTCGGCGCCGTATGCTCATTCGTTGGCGGCGTTCGTTGCGCCATCTCTTGTCTAGCGTGCAAAACGGCGCCGTGTTGATTGCAGACCGGTGGCGTCGCTGCGTTTCCATAGGAGCTAAGCCTTTTTCTTTCTTTACTTTTTCCTCAGGTAAGTTCGCTCTTTGCAAATTTTACAAAAAAAAATGCACCATCTGTGGGCGACGCTGCACAAAGTCGTAGCGCGATAGGTTAAGAAACCGAATTTTCCGGTCGATTTAAAGAGCCTACCGTCTCCTTGTTTCACCCGGTATTTAGAAAATGCTTGGGTGGTAGAACGGGTGGACGGATTGTCGCCAGAGTGTAATTCCGTGCGTGATCGTGGGTGTGAGAGGTTGCTTGCCGCACTCTTTATTGGCTACACAGTTTAAAATAAAGACCAGTGATTGGCGCTTCGGGTGCGTCACTCAGCAGCATTTATACATACTCCATGGACCTCTGAGAGTGTATGTAGACCGCTGTTTAGAAAATGAGAATCGCGTTTGCCCACTCAAAACGTGGATATTGCGCATACGCAGAGAAGCAATTCGCTCTAGTGCAGCGTCTCTGGGTGTCGTGCTGACAGCGGTGCCACCGGAGCGGCGTGACGTCACAGCCGAGTGTTGGTCTATACAACTTCCAGAGGTTATCACTCTAGGGTCCCCTATTTTTGGTATGTGCCGATAAACAGCCAGAAATCAACTCCCGAGGTGATTTCCTCTGAATCGGTAAAAATCGAATAACCCCAAAATTAAGCTGTCCTCAAAAAAAAAAAAAAAAAAAAAAAAAACCGCCAGTTAAAAGTTGGGGTTACACACTGCTCACGCATCATACCAGAGACAGTCTGCAAATACGAGTCACAGCAATATCCCTGGTTCGAATGCCGCTTGCCAAGTTTTCTCCTCGAACGCATTGCCACGCGGCATTCGAAGCACGTTTGAATTTGTATGCAGAGGTATGATACGTGACCCCGGATTTAGATGCAGTGCACCGAGAATATTTTTTTGGCGTTTCGTGCGGAACCGGTCTGCACCAGCTCGAGAGACAGCCAGATTCAGTCATTTACTATTGATGAACAACATTTAACAATAATTAATGTTGTAGAGTGTTTGGTCTATGTTCAACAAAGTCATGTCATGTCAGGTGCGTTATAAATCATAATGTAATTTATGAATTATGCGGTCGCTTTAAAGTAAAAGCCCGATAAACACCGATTCCTCTCCAGCATCTAAATTAGACGCCGAATAGCAACGATTCAAAGGAGAGGAAAAAATTAACTCCGATAAATAAGCCCCGAATTCGAAGAAAAATAAATGCGGAGTACACGGAACCCCACTTGTCACTCGGGGGGAAAAGAGAGCGCCCAGTCACTGTACTGTGGTGGACACACGCCTAGCGCATGATTTTGTTTTAACACGTTTCACAGTCAAGTGGACAAAGATGGCGGCATGCACTTGGCATGCACCCCCCCCCCCCCCTTCCCCAAACCCCCGAAGCCTGTCCCGCGTTTGCTCAGCAGTCTGTAACCATAGCTGCTATTCTTGCTCGTACGTTACGTTTAAAGAATACTGTGAACTACGTGCGTGCAAAGCCTCGCAAGAAACGATTGCTTCTAGAAAGGCAACTTCGGCTCGCTGGCAATGACGTTCATTCAACTGCTTACAAGTGCCGCGTCCGTCAGCTTGTAGGATATCTATGCGAATGCCGTATACAAGATTCATGTCGGAAACATCAAGTTTTTGAAATAGAAAAAATGCTGTATTCTGCCTTTTTTTTTTTCTAGATACGGGGCGCATAAAATCTCTTTCTATAATGAGACCTGGGACAGAAATGAACTCGCCGACAAAGCGAAGAAAAAATATACACACTAAGATAATAATTTGTTTTTATTGGAAATGATACGTAAACGATGGAAAGAGAAAAGGCCTGAGAATTCACCTTTACACAGGACCCGAGACAACGCATCACGGTGAACTGGAAGCATCCCAGCAAATGACGAAACTCAGAATTCGACCACACTTCGTCTCATCCTACGATGGACGGCCAAAGCCACGGGCTGCCAGGTCCAATCACGTTCCACGCTAAACTATGACACGCGTAGCATTGATTAGGTTTGGACCAATATTGCTCCGCATCCCAAAATGCTGCGTCATTTTTATAGCGTCGACACTGCAAACAGCTGGCTTTCTTTGCAATGTAAAATCGTTGAGTCACTCATGGCTTGATCCAAACCATTATCCACCTATTCCCGTCAGTGATCCGAGACGCGAGCACCGATACGTGTATCGAAGAGAAATACCACGCATTGTCTAAGTGGCTCGTGATTGGGTCTGGCGGTTCGTAGCTTCTGCATTTAGTCCATCGTGGGGTGAGACGAAGTATAAGCAACAAGAAAATAAAATTAAAATAAAGAACCGATAAGCACGAGCATAATGAGCGTGACTTTTAACCCGCTCCATTATACGTATGCACATATAATTTTTTTCAGAACTAATCGTGTTATCAACTCTGTCATTGGCTGGCATCCTTCCATTGTTCTCCGCGATTCGCTGTTTTTGTGTTCTGAGAAAAGGTGAAATCGCGAACGTTTCGTAGAGAGCAATTCCCCCGATGTAGCCAATCGGCAACAGCCAGGCGGCGCCAGCAGCGCGAGGGCGCACGGTTATACCCTGTCTCGTTGTAACTTGGCAAAGGGTGAACGATAAGCCCCACATTTCGTGCCGAGGGCTTCGAAATGCGCGACGTATACGAGCGCAACCCTCACATATTGGAGCATGACGAAGCGAAAAGCAAGCTTCTTCGGAGTTGAGGTGCGCTCCGGTGATACGCAGTCACGTTCCGATTGGCCCGCCAGGGCCGTAGCTTCCGCTCTACTGGCACGTTACGCGATCACGGCTTCCTGGGATACCCAGTATTTCTTGCTTCAGACACTAGGCTCAGCGGCGCCACCTGAGTAAAAGCTCACGTTTGAACAATGCAGCCGCCACTCCCACTGGTACCCAATATTTCTTGCTTCTGTCGCTAGATGGCGCCAAACCAAACAGCATTGCAGGTTGCCTATTGTTTAAATTGCCACTAAATAAAGAAAAAAAAAAGTTTTCTTTTTAAACAGTCTGGTTTGGACACGCGTGTCCAGAAATGAAATTTACGCGAAAAAGAGAATTTTAGAACGATATCGACGGCAAAAGACGACATTTTGTCGGTAGTCACCTCCTTTCCACTTGTTTTCTCTCTTGGCGTTTCGGGCGCGTGGAGAAGAGGTGGATCGGCTCGGGCATCACGTTAAGGTGGAGAGAGTGTACTACCTTCTCGTTGGGGTGGAATGAGTGTATGATTATTATTCCGTGACGTCATGGACTTTGCGCGCAGGATTTAAAATAAATCTCGCGCTGTCAATATTGCTCTAAAAAATTTGTTTGTTCGGGTAAACTTTATTTCTCGGCACGCAAGTCCCAACCAAACTGTTTAACAAAAACTTTTTTTTTTTTTTTTCGTTTCAGTGATTTTTTAAAAAACGGTGCCTTCAAGTGCTCTTCTTTTTCCGGAGGAATAATAGAATGGAACGCTCTCATGTAAAAGAGCCGTTAGCTAAACTTATGTGAAGTTGTTTGACCGACATAAGATTACACAATTGGTAGCCAAGTTGATTAATTCATGCTAGTAGAATGTGTTGCATATTTTGCAGGGGTGACTACCCTGCCTGTATGCAAGTCTTACGATGTGCAAGAGTTTCTGAATGTGTTTTTGTTTTGTACCTTGTGCAAATGCTTATTCCCCCCTTCGTTGACCGAAAGGTTCGCGGTATTGTAAATAAATAAGCAATTAAAACATATGCTTTGAATGGCTACTTTAATATATCGTTCATCACTCTCCACTATTATAGGTGCTCGCGCTCAGCCAGAGTGCAGCTTTGCAACATTCAACAGGCTTTACTTGCCCGTCGTTTTGAAACTAAACTTCAAGGTGACAGGACAATCGAACACCCCTGACATACGGAAATTGGACTGCGAGTAAGTACACAGTTTTCGTGTGTGTTTTCCTATCATGTGAAACGAATTAGAGAACTCACTGAAATATATATACGCGGGTACTATTTTCACTTGGGGGAGGGGGGAGTCATCCTCGGGTCTTTACTATTTTCAAAAGATATTGACCAATTAAGATAATTGATTGCATGGAGATTCCGAACGTTACAATTATTGCTCTTTTTAGGCGCGTTGAGCATTATTTTTTGACAAAAACGTGGAATCGTTGGGTGAGGCATAATACAGAAATTCCCGGGTATCCGCTTCAAGGCCCGGAAAGAGGGCCGTGTCACGATCTTTGATTAGATTCTTTAATAGGTGAACCGACAGCTCATCAGTGTAATTTTGGGTTTTTAAAATGTTCATAGAGCCCTTATACTGAGCTATCACCATAAATAAATGATCTCAATATCCACCCGAGTGCCCCTTTGAGGGGTCGTCAGTACATCTCAGTCGAAGTAGTTCACCGTATCTGAAAATCAGTTCTACGCAAATAAAGCGAGTCGCTTAAAGACCATCGCCCGGTTGCGTTCGCAGCAACCTGAAAGAAATCACCCCGGCGGTGGAAACGTTCCTCGAAAAATGTTCTGCTGACAACAACGAATATGTGAAGGAAAAATTAACAAGCTTGCTGTTAACCAAGGAATCTTTGTGCGGCAGCGAACTGGAGGAAGGTAAGAATTTTTTGTTTGTTTTGTTTTTGTTTTCTTAAAGGGCTAGAACACTTCAGAAATAAAGTATGAAAGAGCTATTCTGCTAGGACCCTAATGTATGTGCCTGTATATCTGCTAAATTGATCTTAAAAATGGCACGATAGTTCCGTAGACAGATTGATGGATGCTCGGACACACGTCCGTGTATCCGAAAATCCAGCATGTCTGTAGTGCGGCTTCGCGAAAACTTGAATTTTTTAGACGGGCACTCAACAATACAGTTATATCATCTGTGTATAAGACATCTGGTTCGATCCTTCCTTGAATACGCGTACGTCATCTGGGACCTATACGTCCGGTATCATATAGATCAACCTGAGTGTATCCAGCGGCGTGAAGAAGATTCGTTTATCCAGAGTATCGTCACACGGAATCGGTAACAGAACTATTAAAAAATGCAGGGCTGCCAACCTTGGGTCAGCAAGAAAAATTGGAAGGTTAAAGTCTTTCTATGAACTCTAGAACGAGTATTTTAACATTACTTCGAGTAACTATATAAAGCTTTTGTGAAATAAGATCACCTAGAGTTAATAACCAGTTCGGAGTCAAGTCGTATTTTCGAAATCTTGATTAATTTTTTATTAACCCTTCCTCGTAAAAACCATCGAGGAGTGGAGTAGTTTAGAATGGCGACCTTTTTTTGGGGATTGACAATGCCGAGCAGCTTGAAAGTGTAATATTTGATATGTATGCGGAGACGTGTAGTACTCTTTTATGGTGACGACTTGAAGTGTTCTTGTTTAACCCAAATCGTACTCAAATGGTTGTATTGTGAAGTTTGTTTGTTCTATTGCTGTACACTCTTGAGACAGCCTGAAAGAGTTTTTAATGTTGTAAATAAATAAATAAACACGTCATTCGGGAGGGCTTACATGCTTGTTGTGTCGGTGGCGTCATTCACCCAACGCGCGGCGTCCGCTCGCACGCAGACTTGCCTCTCTCGGCATCTCGTGCTTCAGCTCCCTCGTCTACGTTCCGCGTTTCGAGCATGCAGTTTGCGAAGATTACGTCTACGGCATCGCTCCTTTTAATGCGAAAGCATTAACTGCCTCATGGAGCGAATCGACGTCATCAGTTTGAAGCGCGAAAACGGCACCTTAAATCATTTCTACGAGTGTAGCCTCCTCCCAGTTATGAAACCACGCGAAAAACCCACACGGCACCACATAGTCTCCCCGATCCAAAAGGAGCGAAGTAAAGCTGACGAATTTTTGACTTCGGCCCCGTAGGCTGGCGCGAGTCGATGAAGCTTCAATTGGATGGCGCGCGTCAGCTTCAACGATCGCTCACCCGATGGCTCTGCGTGTCCGCGAGGCAGCGGCTCTACCATTCCATGCCTAAGGTCAGCGCGCCGTACGCCGCAGACGAAAGAAGGGAACGAAGAGCGGCGTGCGTGCTTTCGCTATCACAACTCATAAGAAGTGCTTAGGCCTACCTCGAGCCTTTTTTTTTTTTTGTCGAAGCCTTTGACACTGCTTGTAGCTGCGATGAGAGAGAGAGAAAAACGTTATCATAGCCGCCCCAGTCCGAGCGGTGGTTTCTAGAGGGTGAGGGCTTCCGGAAAGGCTTGGCGGGTCAGGTCAGAGCTTGGGAGGGTGTTGTTAAAGCCAAGGGGTCTCGCAGATTGGAGATATGCTGCGCTAGGCGAGGCCAGAGTGCAGGGCGGAGGCCCGATGGGGGAGTGGCCCAGCTCTCCCAGGTAAAGGGCGTCTGGGTAGGGAGGACATGTGAAATGAGAAAGTGGGGAGATTGTTGGGCGCGTGGACAAGACCAGTAGGTGTGTCTCACGTCGGGATAGGCGCTGCAGACCTGACAATGTGGGTTTCCGGGGCGGTTCATAATGTGGTGGGTTATGAGGTTGCAGGGAAGTGAGAATGTCTGTGCCTGGCGAACGTAGCTACCCTCGCGCCTTGTGAGGTTAAGGGTGGGGGGGGGGGGGGGGGGAGGGTGCGGCAGGAAAGGCGGAGGGCTTTCAGGCGCTGTCGTTGAGCCTTGCGATGAGCTACACGTTCCTCTTTTGGATTGGGGTCCCGGGGCTAGGATTCACGGTTGCTCGGAGTCTCGTCTGCGCGAGCAAGGGCGTGGGCACTTTCGGTCCCTGCGATCCCTTCGTGTCCGGGGACACACTCAAGAAAGACCTGGATATAAGGGTGGACAGCCATGTAGGATGTCAGGTCGTGTTTGATGTGTGCCGGTATGGAGTTTGTTGAGAAGTCTCTGAGGGCTCCTTTACTATCGAAGCGGATAGTAACAGATTGGGTAGAGTGGGAGGGGGGCTGTAGGGGGATGGCTTCTGCTATGGACTGTGTCTCTGTCACTGTAGCTGAAGGTACATGTGCGTGGTGTCGGACTGACTCTCTTTTGGGGCCCACTGTGACGGTGGTAGAGATGCCGTCGGTGAAGGCGGCTTTCGTCTAGTAGATATCGTGCGGTGGTGTGGAAAGATGAAGTGCTCTACCTTGGAGTTTTCCGAGATCCACTGTCGGATTTATGTGTCGGGGGATGGGCTTTACTACAATGCGAGGAATCGTGTCCCACGGTGGTGGTTCTTCGGGAAGCGGAGAGAGGTGGGCAGTTGGATATCCGAGGGTGGACAGAATGGCGCGGCCTTGCTTGGACGTGGTGAGTCGGCGGTACTGCGCTCCAACGTGGGCTTCCGTTTTCTGCTCGAGGCTGTTGTGAAGAGCAGTGGCCATGATGAGGTAGTTTGGGGTATACGTGGACACGCCGAGTTCCGTGCGGAGGCATTTTCGGAAGGCGGTTTCCAGTTTTATGTATTGGGTTTTTCTGAGAGTTAAACAAAGGAGGGCATAGAAAACACGGGAATAGACTGCCGCTTTCACAATCTTGCGGAGCTCGTGTTCTTTCAGGCCGTGAGTGTGGCGGGTGATTCGGCGGAGCATGTTATAGATGAGGTGGATTTGTTTGGTGGTTGCTATTGTCCACACTGTGCTCTTCCCATCTTGCTGCCATATGAAGCCCAAAATACGGATGTGAGGCCGACGGGGGATTCGGCGGACATAGGCGTTGAGGCGGATAAGGGATCGATAGAGGTCTGTTTCTTTTTCGATTTTGATCCACAACGACGACATATTCCGATTTTTCTGGAGAGCATTCAAGAGAGATGGATCGGGCGTGGGTTGGGAAAATATCCAAGCCGTCCTGAAGGGTACGTAATTTGTCCCGGGGTTGCCGCGGGAGCACCAGATAGTAACGTCATCGGCGTAAATGGCGTGGCACCGATCAGGAGCAGATGAAAGCTTAGAGAGAAGGTTTTTCATAGTGAGGTTGAATAAAGTTGGGGATAAGATGGAGCCTTGTGGCGTGTCGCGTGAGATGGGGAAGGGGGAGATGGTTGGCCGTCGGCTCCGATGATTTGGGCGGTACGTTCGGAGAGGAAATCTTTGATATAGTTGAAGAGGCGGTTTCTGGGTTGAGTTTCTTGGAGGTTGTAGAGGATGGCGGCATGATTAACGTTATCGAAGGTCTTCTTAAGGTTGACTTCGACGATAGTGCGGAGTTGGGCAGTGCTCGGGTGTGTAGTGACATCTTCTTGAATGCGGAGGGCTACGTCTTGCGTGCAGACGTGTCTTCTAAACCCAATCAGGCTGTGCGAAAGATCGTTCCCTGTTTCGAGGTGCCAATCAAGACGGTTGAGTACCAATTTTTTCATTAATTTTCCAATACATGAGGTTGTTGAAATGGGGCGGAGGTTTGTTGGAACAGTCGTGGGTTCTCAGGGTTTAGGAAGCAGGATGACATGAGCCGTTTTCCATTCCTCTGGGAGCCGTCCAGTTACCCATACGCGGTTGATGTGTGTCAGCAATTCGTCGAGTTTAGATTCGGGAAGGTTACGGAGTATGGTATATGATATGTGATACACCCGGGTCTAGGGGCGGTGCGACGTTTCAGTTGAAGCGTGGTGAACCAGAGTTCACTGATAGAAAACTTTGATTTGATTCCAGTGTCTAAGTCTTCAGGCAGGGCGAAATGTAGTGAACGCTGGGTTTGGGGTGTGAGGAAGGGGGGTATAACGTATTGCAAATTACCTCAATGAGGGCGGAAGGTTCCAGGTGTGGGGCCAGGAGCAGTTTTTGGAGGGTGTGCCGAGGTTTGGCCTGCCCAAGGAGGGAGCGGAAAAGGTTCCAGACCATGGGGTTGTGAAGTTCGCCGTTGACATTGTTGCAAAGGTCAGGCCAATGCTGTATGGCAAGGTGGTCAGCATATTCTTCTTATTAGTAGTTGGGATCTTGTATTCGCGCTTGGAGGGTGGTGTTGTGCCTGTGGTGGCGCCAGCACTTGACCAAGGCGCGACGTTTGTCCCATAAGGAGAGGAGGTGGCTGTCGACGTGAGGCTGGTCCTCGGTGCGCGCAATCTCCTTGGTGTGTTGTTGGATCGTGGCGAGTATCGCGGTGCTCCAGGATTCTGGGGACAGGGTGTTGGTGTCGACGGTGTCGAAATCCGCTCGGGCTTTCGGCCAGTCTGTAAGCTTGGCCCGGGGATAGGTGGCGGTGGTACGACGAAGACGGGAGCTGATTTGGATGCGCAGTTCCAGGATTTGATAGTCGCTGCCAATAGAGTCCTCTGTTTTCTACCAAATCGTTCGTAGTGGTCCGCGAATCCTTGTGAGATCCGAGGTTGTGTCCGACTCTTGAGCCGTGCCTAGGCATGGGGGGCTAGACGGTTCAGTAAGGAGAGTGAAGTGATGATTGCTGGTGAAAGAGGTCAATTTTCGACCTAGCGGCACCGCGCGGTCATAGCCCCAGACAGGATGAGGGCAGTTAAAATCTCCAAGAAGAAGAACAGTGTTGCGAGCAGTTGACATGGGGAGGAGGGTTTGCAGCGGGGGGAAGGACGTTAAGGGTTGATTAGGAGTCCAGTTCGTATTGATAATGGTAACGCGATGGTCACCTATGAGAGTGGTGATGGTTACGTGTTTTGGCGGGGGGGGGGGGGGGGGTGTTGACAGTCGTAGTATCTTCTTGGGTGGTGGGGATGTTTTTTTGCGTACGCGGACGAACGTCATGGGAGGGGGGGGGGGGGTGCTTTTATCTGCAGTGCCCCGACGACGGTGGGTTATGCTCGGCTGGGCAAACATGTCGTAGCCCCGTAGGTTGAGCGCTCCACCAGTTCCTTAAATTACGAGGATGTCCGGTTGGGTGTCCGTGAGTCATATGGTTAAGGAGGAGGTCCTTTTTCTTGCGGAGTTCGCGGCAGTTCCACTGCCGGATGATTAGAGGCTGCTGCGAGCGGGGAACGTTCAGAGCCATGGAAGTATTATTAACGATGTGCAGGATTGCGGTCTTGGATCGCGAATTCACAGGTCGATTTTTTCTTGTAAAATTACAAAGCGTAGCTCTCTTTCTGTAAAAAATAAGGCCAAGAAACTTGCCAGGGTCTACGGCAGGCAGCAACGCAGACGACAGGGGTCCGGTCGCGGGGTGTGTTTGGCGTTCGTATTGATAGATGGCGCTACCTTCTTATCGCGACGGCTCGTGACCACCGTGGTTTATTAAATTGAATATAATATTTTTGAAATGTAACTTCGGTTAAAAAATAAATGCGAAAAATAAAAGCAACACCTAAAGTAAAAAAACGCGTCTGCATAACGGTGGCGCTTTTGCTGCCAACGGATTTCGTCTACTTCTCGTCTGCTATCTTTCGCTGGTCGGCTCCACCTTCAGACGCTGCTCCCGACGCCATCTATGAATACGAACGCCAAACACACCCCGTTACTGGACTTGGTTGTCGCGGTCGCTTCCCGCCGTAGGCCATGGCAAGTTTCTTGGCCCTATTTTTTACTAAAAGGGAACTACGCTTTGTAAGTTTACAAGAAAAAACCGACCTGTAAAATACACCTTTGACGAAAAGTTGAGATGGCTACGTGCAAGCGTCGATTTTTACGGTTCATTTTGGATCGAGCCTGGTGACTTGAACCACCCTCTATATTCGTAATAACGTGACGCCGTGATTCTGTCTTGCCTGGAGTTCGTAAGCCGTGGCCTTCCAGCGATGTCTACACGTAAACCTTTCTCCTTTGCCTTTCCAGCCCGCCTTTGTGCCTCTGTCTAGTTCTTCGTACGAGGCCTTGCACTCAAGCACCCGTTGTTTATTTTCTGTGATGTCTCTTTCACAACATTTTACCATGCAAATAATTTTGTTTTAGAGCGCAGGTCTTAGGCGCCTGTTTCCGGCTTGAGCGGCGTCACCGTCACCGTCGGCGTAACAGTAAGATCACGCGACCCCCCAAGTCACGTGACCCCCCCCCCCCCCGAGGTCACGTGACCCCCATGAGGGGAGGGGGAGGGAGGAGGGGTATACCCTTCCCTCCTCCTCCTCAAGAGCTGCGCTCCAATTCGGCGTTACAGAGAGTTGTAAACGAGTTTTACTTTTTTTTTCTTCTTTTTAAAGCTTTCAAGCGAACATTTTAATTTGAGACAAAAGTAATTTAAGAAGTATAGAGTAATTTTTGTCGAAATTGCTGCCTGAAAAGAATTTATTGCATTACTAAATTACCGCCCTAAAGAAGTAATTCATTACATTACTCATTACCACAAAAAGTAATTTAATTACTGTAATTTTATTACAGTATTCTCATTACTGCCATCTCTAATGTGAAACCAAACATTTCGATCGCCCTCGCTGCGTCGGCTGTCGCACCGATTGGTTTCGCACAATCGCTGCCTGTGAAACAGGCTTTACGCGCAGCTGAAACGTTTGTTCTTGCGCACGGGCACTGTTCACGGCAGGCAGCTGCAAAGAAACGCGCTCGTTTTTAAAACAACTCTTTTTTCTGCCTGTTTGTGCGTGTGGATCGTAGACCTGAACCTCTGGAGAGACTGTTTCAGTCCGAGTGTCTTCGCGGAATGCAAGAAGAACGTCGAGGAGCGGCTGGGCAAGCTCGAACAAGACGGTGCACTGCAAGACGGAGATAAATGGTGCAGGTACTCATCTTAAATGTATCTCTAAGAAAAAACGTTTTTTTTTATTAATTGTTTTATTTTTATTTTTCGACACGCATATGAAAGAGTAGCTTACACGGCGAGCAAACTTCTGACGCATTTAAACGCAAAAAAAAAAAAAAAAACTCATATCAACTGGCAAAAAAAAAATGCGCACCGAACGCACGACGACGAGGAAGCCAGACGCGAGTCGCTAATTCTTCAAAAGCACATGGGCGCATTTGGGGGCAAACGAGCGCTCGATGTGCTCAAGGAGAAGACGAAATTACCCGCCATACGTGAAATATTCGCTGGACACCACATTTGAGTGCGCTGTTCACTGCGCATTGGTCCTGCCACTAAAAGGCTGCCACGACCCGACAGTTGTGACGATGTGAAATGCACGTTGCTAAAGTACCTGAGCAACTCCACGGCAGCACCGCGCTCAGCAACCACCTCCTCAGATACGAGCGGTGAATAACATCAGCACCGACAGCTTAAAGGGCAACTCCGATCAAAACTCAAAATGAAATAAATTACTGGTATCGCTGTAGTGACAAAAAATACCACCCCAGGCAAAATATTACGTCCGGGGGAGGACACATTCTCAACTAATGCCGACAATAAAAATGCGACCCGCCGCGAGCCGCTGCTCCTTAGCGGGCGGCCAGCGGGTTGCCGATCGCTAAAGCAACATTGGGCCGTGACGTCAGTATCGTTCTCTCTTTTTCCTCCGGTCCGGACGTTCCGCGGAGTGCAACGCCCGGACCGGAGGAAAAAAAAAAAAAAAAAAAGCAATCTGAGTTGTGACATTAAGCAATGCAAGCGTGACGTTTTGTATTGCTTAATGTCACAACTCGGACTGCGTGTTTTGGTCTAAACATATGTTTCGGCATCGTCATTCGCTGAGCTGCATTCGTAAGTTGTAAGTTGCTGTAATTGGCTCTCCGAGTGTTGTGCGGGAAAGTGGACGCACGGGCTTTTTTTAGAGTGTATACTGTCATACTGTTTAGTTGTTTCTCGGGTTGCCTACCTACCGTTCTCGCAATAGACGCATACTCAGGTTAGAATTAAAACGAGGCTGTTTAAACATTGTACACATTACTCCTTAAGAGTAACTAAATACCGTTACTGGTTTCTTGGCCTTAAAAGTTACCGAAAATAAAAACTAGGTAGAGGCAACCCGTTACTTGTAACGCGTTACGTTCATGTCTGCTTCGTGCTATCTACAAGCGTGGTCTTCTAGAATGACGGCTTGCACAAACAGCTCATACAGTGCACCGCCGAATGCCCTCCGACCGTGGCTCTCAGCAAATAGTTGTGCTCCCTGAGTCTATCATTTAAACACCTCCACGTCTGTCCGTTATAGACTTTACCACGCGAGAGGGGGACCTCGTATACCACTCCGGAAACACAGCTCACAAACGGCTTTGCGTGTTTTCTGTACACTTGCTCTTTGACAACCCTTCTGCCTTGGCCCATACTCTCGAACATGTTTACTTTTTATAGTTTCGGTAATAAAACCATCAGTTGCGAGTCAGCGCCTGTCCCGTCCCCTTTGTTCCTTCCTTCGAGTCCTTGTCGTTCTGCGCTGTTTTACCTACATTATGTTTAGCTTGGGAAAGTCGTTCGCTGCAATCTACGATGGTTCGGAACCAACAAGTGTCATCTGCCGTAAGAGTTTGAAAGAGAGTGAATACTCGCAGCTTTATTGAGTACGCGCCGTCAGAGCCAACGGTACGAGCCATGTATACTACACCAACCGCCCGGTTGCTTATCAAAAGGCTTTCGGAACATAAGTGTTCTCTTTCCCGTAGAAACGAGTCGCTGAGCTACCAGTGCGCACTGAAGGCGGGTGCAGACTGTCCCACCAAAGCGGACAGGGCCAGGAGGGCCATGGAAAACTACATCAACACTCTCATGGATGTGCAGGGGTGTTTCAGGCCTACCGGTAAGCCAGGCGTCGTAGCGCGTGATATGCCGCATTGTCTTTAAGCCTGCAACCACCTTTGCGTTTGAAGGCGTTTGAGAGCGGCACGGTGTCCTTAGGGACCGAAGGGGCTGCTTGCGATAGGAAGGGCGCGATTCCGCAGCGCTTCGGTAGCGTGATACAAGACGGTATAGAACCTGGCTCCACTTTCTAAAGCGCTCCGTAAACATAAAGGAGGGTCACGTACGGTCCCGCACTTGTCAACGAGAGCGACGTTGTCAGGCGCGGAAAATTGCTTGCTGGAGAGCCGTGGGGACACAGAGAAGCAGTTTTTTCCAAGCGTGCGCCGGTTCAGGTCGGACGGATGTCGCGGAAGCCAGCGGGGTCGTCCGAGGATTCGCCATCTCGATGAACCTCGACGCTGTCGGCGGGCGCCGCCATGTTTCAGTGGCTTTCGCTTACTTCAGACCATATAAAAAAAGAAGCGCCTTCTAGTGTATTTATTATCAAGTATCCGCCATATTGGTGTTCCCGTACCGACAGTTTCGTCCGATATTTAATGGCCCCAGCAAAGTGGGAATCCCAGATCTAAGGTGTGATCACTTTCGGGCAGTCCAGTCGGAACCATACACACAGTCTTCGATAAAGACCGTTCAGTCCACTTACCTAAATGGTCCAATTCATTCCTCCCTTGAAAACTATTTCTTTTTTTGACAATTCCTTTACCAGAATCTTTCAGCCTGTCTTTCTTTTCTTTTCTTTTCCTTGCACCCAAAGTAAATAACCCTTTGAATGTACGAATACATCGTCCTCATGCCATTAAAACTGAGTTTAATGCATATTAACCTCGTTCGCATATGAAAGGTGGCAAAACCCCACCCAACGGCGGCTCCGAATGGCATGATGATAGCTAGAAGTGGTGAGCCTCAAGCGACGATAGCGCGTTCCTATTGGCTGTTTTAAAAAGTCGACAGCGTCGCAAACTCAGCTCTAGAGCTGAGTTTGAGACGCTGTCTATCCCATTTTCTTTCTACTTCACGAGTTTCCGTTTTTCAAACCACAGTCTCAGGTTTTCAATCATCATATATAGTATTAGTGGCGTGTCACATCCTGCTGGAGTGCAAATTTTCAATCTTGGATTGTATGTGGAATGTACTTGTTTCAACTGAAACTCAATCTGTTTTTGTTATGAGTTCCTATTGAAGCGTCACAGGATATTGGCCATCGAGTTTTAATTAAATTTTTAACAAATTGCATCTCGATTTTATTTTGCGATAGTGTTTCAATAGAAGTTTTGCTATTGAGTTTCAATGAAATTTGTACGGTCGAGATTAAAACAAATTTTTGCATTGGTGTACCAATAAAAAAATTTTGCAACTCCGTTAAAATAATCCTGCAGCTTGTTGGAAATTTTTACCTTTTATTTCCTTAAAGCATTTAACATAGAGGAAACAAAGTGCATGAAGGAAACCAGCACAAATATCATAAATGATTTACAACACACTAATCACACTGTTCTTGAATATTCCACCGCCTTATAAACCCCACAAAAAAATTCATAGGAACGGTGACCAATTCAGCATTTATTAAAGTTCCCAGTATACTATCTCCTCCCAGGAAGCCATTTAAATGATAAAGAGGTGTTCAGACGTTTTGGACCCCATCCTTTAATAAAAAAACAACATTGGCAATATTAATAGTCGTTCGGTGCAGCCGCAAAATCCACAAAAGCGACTCTTAGCCGGTATGTTATCGCTTCTCTGCATAGTACCATTCAGTACGAGAGGAGGCACGGTAGATGCTCGCTTGAAAAATATTTTATTGCTCCTTTTTTTTACGAAGTGACTAGTATAATAGGCTCAATGATGGGACTATTGGCGTCGCGAGCGATCAAAAGCGCCGCTGTGATCGGCTTTCCACAATCAGCCGAATGCTGACTATGACGTCAGCAAAGAACGTCTCATCGACGGAAATAAGAGTAATATAAGAACTTCAATTTTGATGCTGTTGCCAGTGTTGCTTTCAGAGCGCAGTCATTTCAAGCTTCCACCATGGTCTTTACAAACACCATCGAATTCGTTGTTCGCAAGGTAATGAGGTCACAAAAGGAAACCACAAAAGGTCGCCACCGCAACGTGCGCGATCAAAAGCGTCGCTGTGGTCGGCCTTCTACGATTGGCCGAATGGTGACTATGACGTCAGCAAAGGTTTTCTCATCGACGGAAATAAGAGGAATGTAAGAACTTCAATTTTGACGGTGTTGGCAGTGTTGCTTTGAGAGCGCTATGATTTCAGGCTTCCACCATGCTCATTACAAACACCATCGAACTTGTCGTTCACAAGGCAATGACGTCACGAAAGGTAACCAAACGAGGGCGCCACCGAAACATCTCGCCGCTAATAGTCACTGACAGAGTGAAAAAGGCATGACGTGTCTTTCAAACACCCGGCCTTCAGCACGTGCTCTATGCATTCCACCATGTTTTGACAGTGCGTGCCCGCTTGATGTGCACGAGACGTTGGATCGTTTTGGAGGGGGAGACTCAAGCTTGAGGGGAGACAAGTGAAGCTCCTCCCTGTTGTTCTCACCTTGTCAGTGACCTTAGAGTTATTATACTGAACGCTATGCTCTCAAAGGTGTCAAAACTTTTGGATTCCATTTTTTGCACAAATGATTCTGAGTAAATATGTTTATTTTGAGAGATATAACTGTACTCATGGTTATTTACAACTGTGCCATCGCTGGGTTCCTCAACAGCAAAGGGCGCAAACCAGCTGATGTCTAAATGACAAAAACTCGTTTTAATATCCAATGAGGAGACAAAGTAATGTCCGTCAATGAATGAACCTAAAGTGCATGTCCATTGACTAAGTTCAAAATAATGAATGACAAAACTCATTACACGAGGTGTGATCAAAATGTTCCGGGACTGATTTTGTAGCGTAAAAAGAGAGGGCAGCACAGTGATGCGCGCGCTGCAATCGAAGGCAGGGACCCTTTTGCGTCATATGCCAAAGGACGTCGCTTTGTGAACATTTAAAACTGTTCTCCACGAGTTTGACCACATGCACGAGTATAATGGCGATTTCTTCATAGAGAGCAAACCAAAGCGAGAGCGAACATCAATTTTACGTCAAACTCGGCAAATCTAAAACAGAAACCTCTGAAATGATTTAGAAGGGTTATGTCAAAACACGTAGAGGTGTGCGAGGTGCTTTGAGTGGTACTCGTGACTCAAGATTGGCAGAACGTCACTGAAGTCAAGGAGAGGTCGGATAAGGTCACTGTACCGCTCTTTGTCTTCCAGCGATGTTCTGTCGTTCCTGAAGCGCGAGTGCCACTTAAAACGCTTTTCTAAATTCACTGCTTTTCGACACAATTTTTCTGTATCTTTTCAGAGGTCTCTGTTTTATATTCGCCGAGTTTGACACGGAACTGATGTTCACTCTCGCTCTGGTTTCAAGTCTATGGTGAAATCGCCATTGTGCCCGTGCACGTGGTCTCAAACACTTGTGTAGCGCAGCTCTTAATGTTCACACAGCAATTGATATAAGGAGACATGAAGGTCCCTTCCCTCGACAGCTGCGCGCGATATCTAATGAGTAAACTTAAAATAATCAATCTTGATGTCTTAACAACAAAAATAATTTGCAAATGCAATGAGTGAATTCAAAATAATTGCTATGGAGTTCTTGATGATAAAAGTCGTTTGCTTATCTAATGAGTAAATTCAAATGAATAGATATTGAGCTCATAATGAGCAAACTCAATTGCATTCTTAATAACTGAAATCAGATGAATGGATATTGAGTTCAAAATGAGCAAACTCAATTGCATTCTTAATGAGCACATCCACAAGAATATATATTGAGTTCATAATGTGCAAACGCAATTGCATTTTAATAGGTAAATTCAAAATAATAGATTTTGCATTTTTAATAAAAACAACAAATTTTAATCCTAATAAGTAAATTATAAGTAATTTATATTGAGTTCTTAATGACCAAACTCAATTGCACTTCTAATGATTACATTACATATTATAGATATTGAGTTTCTCAAGAGCAAACTCAATTTCATTCCTAATAAGTAAATCCGATAGAATCGATGGTGAATTTCTTAAGATGAAACGCATTAGACGTTCAGTTTATATTGAGTATCAATTTACTTTATAGGAATGCATCAGAAGGTCAATTGAAACTCATTGATCATTTTCGTAAAGACAATGATAAAGTTACTGCATTGCGTTAAAACAGACAGAAGAACTAGCGGGGACACAAAGGGGGGCGGTGTTGGAAGCTGATATAGAAAAATCCGCCGAGGAATTGAGTTCACTTAGACGTCAGCAGCCGTCTTCGGTCCCCTCTTGTTCTTCTGTCTGGAATGTTTTACAAATTTTGCTAAACGGCATAAAAAATATCAAAACGCGTAATAAAAGAAGCGGCTTAAAAAAAAAAAAAAATTATTTTTAAGAACAGGAATTATTTTGTTTTTCACAAACTTCCAAAACAAAATCCCGCTTTTTTTTTTTTTTACAAACTTTATTATTTCTAAAAGTAGAAACTACTTTCAGTCATTTTACAGAATGAAAAAGAACCCGAAAGGTTATTTTTTAATAAACATTAGGGAAGGAGAGAAACAAACGAAAACAGAAAATTTGTGACGAGAGAGCTTCCAAGCTTTTATTGTTTTTTTACACAGTTGTTTTTTTACAGTGTACGCTTGCGAGGATAAACTGTTCCACGATTGCCACTGGGTGGTCGTGCACGAAAGAGCTAAGGAATTGCCACTTCTCCAGAGCGGTGAAGGTACGCTCGCGAAATATTGCAAGTAAGTGCACTTTTTCCCTTGTGCAACGCATCACGCTGAGCCCGAGTCCCCCTCAGCAGAATTTAAGATTGCACAATGTGTTACCTCGTCCCAATGTCGTCCATGGGAAAACACCAGATCATGGTCTTTTATAGCTACTGACGGGATCAGTAAGGAAGGGTGTGACTTCCCGGCGTTTTGCCTCCAACACAATTTCGATGCCTTCCGTGGTGCTTTGGCAGCGTGTGGACGCTCGAGGCTCAGGAAACGCCGGAGAGGGCGGGAAGCTCGAACTGGAGGATGGGGGGGGGGGGGGGGGGGGGAATAGAGGGGGGGGGGGTCGAGTTGGTTGTCTGTAATGCCCCTGAATAAAAAAGGTAGCAACGTCTTCTCCCTCGTCCTCTGACGCGCACACCTTTTGTCTTTATATTTTTCTTTTTTACACCCGCGCGTCGACTGTAGCGCCGCCTGGTTTGGTCCAAGAGAGCAGACGACCTTCCTATGCTTGAGTCAAAGGCTGAAAGACATGCAAATACATGCACACAGGCTAAAAACGCGCTGTCACAGTCTACCAGCCTCGAAGTATGTGCTCAAAGAAAGAGGATGAAAGCCGTGACGTTGCACAGTCGGCGTTATTCGATTGGCGACCTGAGCTCATAGCAGGCACTGCGCTCCGACAGCATAGGCATTCCTCTTCCTCCTCCTCCTCTGACGCGCACACCTTTCATCTTTATGTTTTGCTTTCTTACACCCGCACGTCGGCTGTAGCGCCGCCTGGTTTGGCCCAGGATAGCAGGCGGCAATCTTCAAAGGATGTCGATACTTTTCCGTATAAAGGGGCTTTAGTTGTCTGCTCTACCGGCCGCGTAGTAATGGACGGCGAGAGGGAGAAAGAGCCCGTTTCGTAAAATCGTTGAGTAATTTCGAGGGGGAGAAATGAACGGAAGCCACCAAGAGGCGATAACCGTCCTCCTCTCCCACGCTCATGACAAGATTTTCCTGGAGGACGAGGAGGGTGAACTGCTTTTCCCTGATTGGCTGATCCAAACGCGGACGCGTCCGGGCCCCGAAAGGTTTAGCAGATTCAGTTTTAAATCGTCCCCCCCCTCCGCCCCCCCCCCCCAAAAAAAAAAAAATAACAGAAAAGTGTTAACGTTGACGTCACTTCCGGGTCTCGGAAGTTCCTGCAGGACCGGATTCTGGGCTGCATTGCACCACCTTTTAAAGGGTGCTCCAAACCACGTCGCAAAACGGGTGGTTATCATTTGAGCCCGTTCTCGTTTCGACCTTCTCACTTGGCCCTTCTCAAAACAACCACTCCCAGAAAGATCTTCTCTCTTGGACCTGTCGCATTTGGTCCTTTCCCGTTTCGTCTTTCGCGTTCCAACCTTCCTCATTTGGGCCCGTTCTCGTTTCGCCCTTTTTGACCTGGCCCTTTTCAAAACAGCCATTCTCAAAAATATCTCGCTTTGAGCCGTCACACATGACCCTTTCTATACCAAAATCGTTTTTTTTAAGGTAATATTAATACATTGATATTATTTGTGTGTGTGTTTGTGTGTGTGTGCGACACTACAGGCATACTCCCTCTGCTAAGGATATTAGCAGTGCGTCGAGCTCGTCGTGAAAAGCTACTAGCTGACCATAAAACAGACCAACTATTTATCGCAGCCAGATCATATTCCGAAATGTCACGTTGTTTGAGGTCTCTATCTAGACTTGGGACGATGCCACCACTTCTATAATGCGGTGATTCTCAAACGGGGGTCCGCTAAGACGTTCTAGGGGTCCGCGAGGCCCTGTCTCATCAGTCAGGCACGGCAATATTAGTTGTCTTTCTTTACGTTGAGAAGAAACGCTCCAATTTTCGGGAGAGTACTCTCGTGTGTATGTCAATGAGATAAGTCTACTTTACACTAGCAATTAGTTATATTCATTTATTAAATCATTATTATGATAACCTATACCTTTCTATTCCCCTCACCCCAAACGGGTTCCTTCATGATCTCCGCCTTTCTACGAGGCGTCCGCGAAACATCAATGGTTGAGAACCACTGCTATTATGTATGCTATTTCTGTTCAAACAAAGTTTCCAAATTAAATGTTCATCGCTTTTTTTTTCTCGTTTGCTTAGGGGAAGGGAAGCAGACGTCAAGGTACGATTCTCAGTGCATACCTCCACACATAACATATATCTCATGGTATGTTGGGGGCCTAAGCAATAACATATATCTGGTGGTATGTTGGGGGCCCAAACAAGGTAAGGCTTATCAACAAAGCCGCGAAGGCATAACGACGTCAGAAGCATGCCGAACTAGTGCCATTCGGTCATAGCGCGAACGGGCGAAATGAGAATGGGTCCAGTTGCGAAAAACACGATTCGGATCGTATGAGAAGGTGCAAACGAGAAGGACCAAATGAGAATGGGTCGAAATGTGCAAGGTTCAAATGCGAATGGGACGTTTTGAGATACACCCCGCAAAACGGACTCGCAAAAATTAGAGAGACGGAACCCGTTTTTTTTTTTTATATATAACTTCTGCCTGCCGTTTTAACTCAGAAGCCTGCGGGAGTGCATGGACCTGGATGCCGGCAATGGAAGCGGGGGAAATTACACCCTTTGTGGGATTTTTTAGTGGCTTCGAGGAGAAGGATACAACAAAAGACAAGTGCACCCTCCCCCCCCCCCCCCCCAACCCGCTCAAGGTTTGATAGGAGGGCGACGAAGGTGGAACTAGAGTTCCTTCATGTGCGCTTCGCATAGAGTGATGCCAACTGCCCGTTTCCCTTTCTCACACCCTCTTCCACCGCCATTTTGTTCCTCTTATTGTTTCCCCGTGCGCCGGAAAGTGGCCTTTGTGTCCATCGGTAATCCCAACCGAGGGGGAAAATTCTAATCCTCCCTCCGTGGGCTTCACAACACTGCTCCGAACTAGTGAGATAATGTGTTTGTTTCCGGGAGGGTTATAAGCCCCACGGATTATCACCGAGGACCAAAATGGCTGCTGGTTTGTCGGCGAGTGGTATTACAAAGGGTGGCATCACCCTAGCAAAGCGCACATGAAGGCTCCCTAGGTGGAACCGCCTTCCCGATTGGCCGAAGGGGCTCTCCAGGGCCTTCTCCGGGTTCGGAAAACGTTCAATACTTTCAACTTTGGATCCGCAAAGCGGGAGCCGCAAAACGTCACGTTCACATGACCTTTGACGTCACTCCTCTCTCCCGGATTTCTTTGGGACCTCTTTTTCGCTCGCTTCGCGGGTTGGTCTGAACCGCTCGAAACGGGCGAAAACGGGTCCCGTAGAAATCCGGGAGAAAGAAGTGACGTTAACGGACACGGGGACGTGACGTTGTGAGGCTCCGGCTTTGCTGGTTCAAAGTTGAATATAGTGAACTTTTTCCGGCCCCGGAGAGCCCCTCGGCCAATCAGATCTACCTTCTCGCCCACCTCGCAAACATTGAAAGGGGGGGGGGGGGGGGGGCTGCGCGCTTGTGCCTTTTCAAGATCCTACAAAAGGTCAAAGACAGGCTAAAGAAGCAGTTGCGTTCCTTGTATTCTCCTCTCGAAATCACTCAGACATCCCACAAAGGGTGCCTTTTTTCCCTCTCCCGCCCGAGATGTGCGCTTTTTTTCTTTCCCGCTCAATCTTTCCGTCTCTGGCGTCCCGGTGTGCTGTCTTTTCACTCCTCAACCATACTCCCGCAGGCTTCTGGAACAAAACGGCAAACAAAAGTGAAAAAAAAACAGTGCTTTATTTATATTATATCCTGTTAAAAATTATACGTGGTTTGTTCCCCGACAAACGGCGGTCCTGTTATATTTTCATAGTGTGTACTATTTATATAATTTGTATTCTTTAAAAAGGGTTGAGCGTGAATACCATTTATTTCAAGTTGTTCCAGAAGCACAGTTCGTGGTTCTGGAAAAACTCCGTACATCCTATGGTTTACGAGCGTCGTTAACCAGAGTTAAATGTGATTGAGGGTCAGATTTCAGTGCGGTTCAGGGTGCCCATGTAAATAGAGTACACGTCACGTATTTACCTGTAGTGCTAGTTCTATAACAGTTTGCAGTGCGTGCATGTGCCATCACGATCAAGTTTCATCCGCTCATGTCCATAGGTGAACTGGGCGACAGCTGCACCGATAGCGAGCGATTTAGAGAAAAAAAAATCTTTGTATAGTCTTAGGTTTTCGATAGCCCGCATGGAGTAGAATATCAATTGTCTACCTTAAAAACCCAAACAAAACACCAAGTCCCAAAAGGTCGCACACACCATATTCTGTTTTACTTTTATCCCTTTACCATGGGAGGGCTTCCGTTCAAAACGGCAATGTTGGGTAAGTACATCTAAAAAGTACTTGAAGTAGAATACACAGTAAATGAGAGGTTATGCACTTTAAGTAAAGCAGTAAGTACATCGGGACTCGGGAGCCATGTGCTTTTAAAGTAAATTACTATAAATACAATGCACTTTTAAAGTAAAGTACAAGTACCTTTCAACACAATCTTTCATCATGCCTCTTTATTCCCCTGTACAGATTTTTTTACTGCTATGCTTTGCTTCATGGGTAATCGGGGTTGCATTTTATATTTTCGGAAATGGTGGCGAATATTGGATCAAGTAAAGTAGCCATGAGTAGTTATTTTCGGAAATGGCACCGAATTCAGAAGTTCCTCCAAGCTTTGAATTTGAAGCCGCTTGCACCCAAGGGTGTTAAACGCATTAGGAGAGAGCATGACGTCCACTCCGTAGCTTCCGCAAGCAATCCTCTCGTGGAGGAGTGTCATCTCTGAGTATGTTTATCCTCCTCGCTTGCGCTGACTTAGCAAAGGTTGGAAATGCTGCGGTAACACCACATCCAGTACAAACGGGCCGATGGGTCGTTTGGTCGCCTTTTTGGTGATAGTGGGTTATCCTCCCAGCATCACTTTAGAGTTGACAAAGCATAATTTTGTGATACAAATTTAACAGTACTAAATTTGGGGAATGTACTTTGAAGTCGGGAGTTGTATTTTCCTGAGAAAGTACGAAAAATAACACTTCCATTACGGTACAATAACATAGTTCAAGAATGTACTTCAAGTACAAGTTTTCTAATCCCTCTTGAAGTAGTACTTTAATTAAGTACAATGTAGTTAAGGGGGAAGGGTGGTAGGGTAAATGGTTCATCTTGGTTTAATTTCTGTATCTAAAGAAATACTGTCTGTTTCATTGTGAAATTTTATTTATAGAAAGAATACACCATTGGGATTAACTTTCTGTTGCTTTTCTACTTCATAAATTTTCTTTATGTTTTTAGTAACGGAGTGTCCAATCGTAAGCTGAGTTTAAGTATTTACTGTACCTTTCCTCAACAACGAAAAGTGGGATGTTCATTTAATTTGGCACATATCTTACACATGTTACTGGTTTTGAACTGAACCCAAGAAAAGTAAGTTTGAACATGCCGCATGCAAAAAGAAAAAAAAAATTGCTCTTTCTAATCATTACCATTAAAGGGGAACTTTTTTATTTAAATTTTTTTAACATTATAATAAAGTGTATTTTTAAAACATTTTAGTTCGAACTGGTGGCAAGATATTGTACTATAAGCTGTAAAAGTTTTAGTGTAATCGGATAAGTAGTTGCTTAGTAAAGGTACGACAAATTAAAAAAAAAAGACTGCAAAAATGTGATTTTGAGAAAAACGTAATTTTGTCTCCGCACAAAGGCAAATGGTCAGGGTGCGCGAAGTTCGGCTACATGTTTAAGTGGCTTGGAGTGCTCGTTCGCTCTTGCCGCTTTCTGGTTTTGTTCCTCGGACTGCACATACCTTTTTTAACCCTAAAACTTCAGAATCGATTGTTTGGTTGGTTTACCCTACCATCCCCCCTTAAAGTACTCCAACACTGTAAAATGTGGTAATTCTATTTATGCCATAATGTTTACGCTCCGATTATAACGTCTTGGGTTGCCAAAGGCATTTTAGCGCTTTTTAGACGAAGTCAAAAGAAAGAGTAACAAGACATACACGAGCGCTGACTGCAACTATTTAGTCAACATGGAAATAAGGCATATATACACGCTTCGATCCTATCAATCAGCCAACCCCAGGCCTTGCCGCCGCTCGCATGAACTGCAGCTCCTTATCGAAAAGGTCGATGGATACAATGCTGACACCCCACCCCTGCCCTTTTTATCTCGTCCGCTTCGATAATTTCCCCTAACAGTTCTATTTTTATTTTTAGCCAGTACTGAGCATGAGTAGTGTTGGTCGTTGTTCGACTCATGCTCAGTACTGGCTAAACATAAAACTAGAACTGTTAGGGAAATTATCGAAGCAGACGAGATGAAAAGGGCAGTGGTGGTGTGTGTCAGCGTTGCATCCATGGACCTTTTCGATAAGGAGGTGCAGTTCATGCGAGCGGCGGCAAGGCCTGGGGTTGGCTGATTGATAGGATCGAAGCGTGTATATATGCCTCATTTTCATGTTGATTAAAAAGTTGCAGCCAGCGCTCGTGTCTGTCTTGTCGTTCTTTCTTTTGTCCTCGTCTAAAAAGTGCTACCATGCCTTTGGTAACCAAAGACCAATACCAACTAGCCCAGCATTCAGCTTTGACAATTCTGACGCTTTGTATCTTCTTAAAAAGCATTGCGGCTTGAGGAAACTAACAAAGGAACTGCCAACAACAAATTCGAGACGTGTAAGTTCCTTACAGAGCCGGTCTCGTGTTCTTTGTATAACGTTTGCAGAGCCGCGAAGTCCGTGTCTACTTGCACGAGGAACGTGCAGATCGACCAATGCTCCGAACAGGAAAAAACATATCTACGTACCGTCGAGGATGGCTTCCGACGGAGCCTTGGTTCTCTTTGCGACGAACAGCTCCCAGCAAGTAAGTGCATGGTTTCTTTTATTTTTTTTTATTGAACAAATTTCTCGTGATCTGTTGTTCGGTCTCGATGTGGCAACCTCACTGGCTCTGGATGGATCATAAAATGCTCGAGACTGCCCTGTGTCTATCTCTTCAGATGCCACTAGGTATACCTTGGTACGACTAAAGTGCACTGGGTCCTGGTAAATTTACGCCGTTGCCTTCCATGCCTGCTATCAGGACACAATCAGATACTAACATAAGACGACCAAAACCGCGAAAGGCCAGTGTCTGTTGCCATGTCAATCACCGTTTCGGTCCTTTCAAATCTACGAGGCTTGAAAAGGGCCATTCTAAACCAGTCGTGCCAAGATCGCGATGGAGAATCACACGAATTCAAGCAAGAGAGACATGACGGAAGTCTTATTGGCACCGACATCAAAATGGCCGCACTCGCCGCCGCACTCGCCGAGCTTTAGCTTCGGCGACGTGTCGTGATCGTTCTAGCGGTAGCTCTGGTCCCGAACCATACCTCTTCCGTAAACATTTGCTGCTATAATGATTTCTAAATAACACCCCCAATCTTACGCAATAGTAAGTGCTTCGCTGGCGCTGGCCATGGGCGACGATGCGGCGGATGCCGCCATCTTTAACTCTATTAGGGCCACCGTGATTAGGGCGAACCGTGGGGAAAACCCCCATCAGTTAACTGAGATCGGCCAGCTCAGTCGAATTCAATGATAATTAGCAGCTCAATAACAGTTCGCACCGCCGTATAACTCCGGCCGATCGCGATTGAGTCAAATATCGTTGGCTTAATGACAGTTAAGAGCGCTAGTGTAACTCTTTGAGCCTTTTTGAGCTGCTTCATCCAGTTTTTGCGATACGCTATCTGGCCTCGACTGCGCCGTGTGTATCCGCTGCGCGCGTATACGCCGCGCGTATGCAGACGTCGTCCTCAACATCGCCCCAGGGGTTGGCCTTGAGGTCGTCCTAAACATCCTCTCTGACGTCGTCGAAACGTCGTCTTAACGACGTCCTTGAGTATGTCGTCGAGACTTCCTTTAGGATGATCTCAAGAACGACCTCTAGAACGACCTCCACAACAACGTCTAAGGCGACGTCGAGAACGACGTTGTCGAAGACGACGTCTGCTAGGACGTCGTCCTAGACGTTTTTTTTTTATGTCGTCTTAGAGGTCGTCCTTGAAATTGCCCTAGAAGTCGTACTACAGGTCGTTCAAGAAGTCGTCTTAACGTCGTCATCTAGGACGTCGTCCTTAAGGTCGTCATAGAAGCCGTCCTAGATGTCCTTGAGATCGGCCCTAAATGTCGTCCTAGAGGTCGTCTTTGACGTCGTCCTTTAGGACGTCGTCCCAGCAAACAGATAAACCCGCGCCGCGCATAGACGGAGTGGCAGTACGCACACATTCACATCTGCGCCCAAGCTACGAAGAAATTACCGCTTCGAGTTGAGCAAGTTGGTACATGATATATGAAGGTGATGAAATAGCATGAGTAATGAACGATTACACAGACAGTAGATTAAAGTACTACACATAGACCAAGGAATCCCTGAATTTGAAACTGGCGAGCTGCAGTCGCGCTGAGGTCAATAATTGCGCCGTAAACCACTCATAAAATAAAGTGTTTACTGAAAATTTGCGTCGTCATATTCACAGTAACCTGCGTCCTTAGTCTCGTCACGAATACTATCGCAATTAATCAACAAGCAACAATAGGGGTTTCTGCAATCAATTTTCAATGCCGCCAAGCACCGATGCCACATGTGGAGGCGGGTCGAAGATGTGCACTTGTTTCGCCGGTGTGGGTATAAAAAAATCTCGGTTCACATTTAATGGCTTTGTAAAAATCTAAATCAATCGGTCACCGCGAATTCACACCGGCTTACCCAGACTGGAGAGGTCAAGGAAAAACTGCTTATTCCAGACCAAAATAACGGCCTGGCGTTACTTTCCCAAGATTGAGTGACTTTTGGCGGCCATAGCTGAGCCCGCGGCTGCTGAGCGCATATTGACGGCGACCTTCCACAGTTATTTTCGAACATGCATTCCACACCATCAAGAATGCCGGTTTGGAAACCTATGCAATGCGCAAGTTCGCCAGCTTCTTGCACAGGAGTTGCGATGATGTCAAAATGTCGAGGTCTTATTGACTCATTGAAAATATAGTGGTTAGACCTCAAGGCTTTTATCATTGAGGCCTACCCACTATCCTTCCAATCAAAGCCAATCAGAGCCCGACGTCGTTCTGACGTCACCGCAACTCCTGCGCACGAAGCAGGCGACTTTCTCTCCGCATAAGTCTGATCTGGTCCTGAGCATGCGCTGTGAACAGCGTACACATATGTGGCGTCCGCTGGGCCTTCCTTACTTCATGAAATCGGTACCTTGGCAAGATCGACTGCATGCCGTACCGCGTACCCCAGAACCGACTTGATGCCGTCGTCGCAATGTGGGCATCCCTCTCCAGCCTATTTTCGGTTTCGCCCCCCCCCCCCCCCCCCCCGTACTTCCTCATTTGGTGTCTTTCCATGTGCTCCCAGTGTCAATCTGCCTAAACTTCTTTGTCGAATTTCTAATCCTGGTTGAACCTCTGATTTCTTGCACAGCACCCATTGCCAAAAGACAGTCCTGGTATTCTTCTGACCACTTCATATCTATTATAGTTCCATAGTGCCTTGAGTTTTATAATAGATTAATTTCTTTTCCAATTTTCATTTATATTCTCCTCGTATTCCTCTAGATATTTCCTTCCCTCATTGAGCCAGACTCACAGATATTTTTATTTTCCTACATAATCTACTACAATGTCTTATATCCTCAGGGGCTTCCTCTTTTCGTCGCTAAACATCATTACTCCAGACTTGACAGTCTAAAATTCATACCTAAGGTGTCCCCTTTTTCTCCACATATTCCAGATAGTTTCTGTAATGTATCTTGGTTATCTGCCTTGAGTACTATGTCGTCCGCCTAGATAAGTCCTGGTATTATGTGTACTACATTTCTCCCTCCTTGCACATAACACACATCAAAACCTGAGTTGCTGGCTCTAATTTTTTTTCTATATCACTGAGATATATTATGAAGAGCAGAGCTGAAAGTGGACAGCCCTGCCTGAGCCCTCCTTTTATTGCTGCAGGTTGTGTAGTTTCTGCTTTCCAAGTTATACCTATCTTATTCTCTGTGTACGCCTGCTGAAGAAACCTAACCAAACTTGCATCTAAATTATACTACTTCAGCTGACCCGAAAGTTTTTCCCGGCTCACATTATGGTACGCTCCCTTAATGTCCAAATAAGCTAACCATAAAGGAGTTTGGTTCTTCGTTGCTATTTGCGTACATTAAACGGTGACGAATAAGTTATCTTACAGTTTTCCATTTCTTCGGAATCCATTCTGGAGTTCACCCAATATTTGCATATCTGCTGCCCATTCCTCTATTCTCCGCTTTACTATCTGCATAGCTAATCTGTATAGATCTTTTTCATTTGTTTCCTCTGCTTTTTCATGTTCTTAATTTTTTTACTTAGTTTTCAATCATTGGGTACTTCTCCTCCCATAATTACATGACTAATCACACGCCGTAACTTCAATTTGCTTGTTTTTCCTAGTGTCTTAATAAGTTTCATGGGTATCTCGTCTGGGCCTCTCGCTGTTCTCGCTGGAACCTTACATTCTACCTTGTCCCACCCTTTTGTGGTCGTCTCCATTTTAACAAAATTCCGCTCCTCCTCGACGCTTCTGCTGTCAGTGCTATCCAATGTCCCCCTCTGCTCAAGCTGGAAGAAAGCCTCTTCGATTGTCGACCTAATATATTCCGGTGCTTTCTCCCCCTCTACTCTTCTCCCTTCCTGTGTGGTCAGTATGTGTTGGAAACCCCCTGTCTTTTTCCCCAGCGCTTTAATGTGCTCCCCAAACCTTTTTGCCGCATTCCTATATTTTTTTTTATCATCCACTGCACTCCTGCACTCCCAATTTCTGCCCGTATTAAAGCTGATGCCTCTCTTTTCCACTCTTGGAAGTTCTCCCACTTTGATGCTACTTCAGCTGGTAAGGCTCCCCTTTTCTTTGCCCGCCAATGCCCCCTACACTCTTAGAAATACACTCTCAAGGAAAATGGTTGTCAGAAGGTGTATTCCCTTTGTCTCGTATAATACACCCCCAAATTTCAATTCGACATACAGCACCCTACAGTCGAACAGGCGGCCCGAAATTTTAGGAGGGGCTTGATAACCGTGTGGTACAACTTATTAAAATAGCTAATGTACGTTTTACTGAACACGAAAAAAATAATCCGGGTTTTCTTGGCCTTACTGTAAAAACTCTGTGTATTCTCTATGTGGTCTTTGATACGTACTTAAGCTATTTAAAATGTTGTACAACACGGCTATCGAGCCCCTCGTAAACTTTCGGGCCCTCTGTTCGACTGTAGGGCACTGTAAGTCGAATTGAAATTCTGGGGTGTATTATATGAGACAAAGGGTGTCAGAATGCACCTTTTGACACCCTTTTTTCTTGAGAGTGTAGGAAGTTTAGGGGGTACACCCCTTGTCTTATATGTAACACCCCAAAACAACAATTCGACATTCAGTCCACCGATGTCGAATCGACAATACCAACTCTCACGAGCGGCTTGATAATCGAGCGATACAACTTATTAAAATATCTAATGTACGCATTAAAGGCCACAGTGAGACAATCAAGGTTTTTCTGACTCAGCTGCAAAACCTCAGTGTTCTTTTTAATAGTCTTTGACACACACATTAGCTATTTAGTACGTTATATCCAACAGCTATCAAGCCGCATGTGAAAGTTGGTATTGTCAGCTCGACGTCAGTGGACTGAACGTCGAAATATAGCTTTGGGGTGTTACATAAGGGGAAAAGGGGTGTACCCCCTACACCCCCAATTTCTGAGAGTGTAATTTCCTCTTGGCGCCGTAATATGGATTCTTTGACCTCCTTATCCCACCGGCATTCTGGTTTGTGTCTTCGTTTTTG